CGCCATCTAGGCTTTGTTCTTTTCGCCCTTTGTAATATAAGATGTTACCGGACTCTAGTGGGATTTGCCATTACTGTATTTATATAGGTCTACCCACCTGGAGACCCATTACATATTCCTATTAGGAGTTTTTTTAGCCTTAAAACACTACGCCACTCACCAGCTGGTGAGTGTATTTTATACAATTCCTAAAATCAATTTCAAATTCAAATTCCACTTACGCCATTCACATCGTGCCAAAGATATTCTTCTCTGCCGTGGCTGCCATTGTGGACTTTATCCGTGACCCTGGACAAGGCACCCTAAGCAGGTACTAGTTTACCGGGTCAGAAAACCCCTGAAATCTGCAGAGGGTAGGGATTGATTCATTTTCCCTGATAGGACTATCTAATGGAAGTCCTACCCGCTACCCTGCGGGTAGTAGGTATCAATTAGAGAGGGATCATCAGGGATCAGGGAACCAAATAATTCAATTAGAGAGGGACATGTAAAATGAAAGAAGGCGAGTGGTGTGTTCTATCATAGAAAGATTTTAAATTGAAAAGAATACTCAATAAAAGTGACATATTATGTAACACCAGTTATGATAATACCAGTTATGATGTAACGACAATGAATGTTGGATAGGTAAAAAAAAAGAGCAAAGATTACGTGAAGAATACTTAGTTTATTAAAAATTTTAAAATTAAGAATTGATATATTAAGAGATGTCTAGTGGTGTCACCATTAGACATCAAAATGTAACAGCATAGGTTAAGATAATTAAGATGTTTGACATGAAAAATATAAGAACATTATGAATAGTTGCAATTTCTTGAAAATGATTGAAAAAAACGACTAATAAATTATAGAAAATTGCAATATGTAATAATTTAATAATATTAATTTATTATTAATAAATAAAACGCAATATTTAAAGTAATACAAAAACGAGTATACTTACAAGATCATCTAATATCCACATACAAGCTAAAATTGTTAACACATATTTGTGTCCTTCAGCATTTGGCACACGAGAGGTCACAACTAGGATTAATATTGTTGTGTTATCGAGGACGCATCCAATTACAACCAGAACAAAATTTAACAGTATATTGCCACACAACTGATTCACTAATCCAACGGTATCACATACTAAAGTATAACATTTTCTAATATTTTGTAGGTTTTCCACAATTTGGTGTGAGTTGCGTTGGGTTCCTTTATTAAAAAATGTTAACGCTACAAATGTAGAGTTATCACTATAGTTCTTTAACAGGAAGTTTACTCGTTTGAATCTGTTTTTAAGTTCTAATGCAAGGCTAAACCATATAACCACGACAAGATTAAGAAGAAGTCTATGTATATATTTTATAATAAAGTACTTAAAAAGATCAAATGAGAGAGCATGGATCCATATAAAGCTATCTACCAAAATCTCAAATAGTATTATTGAATGATATGCAACAAAAAAGGAAGCAAATTGAACAAACACTTTACGATTGGCTGGAGGAAGCATTCTTTTGTCGAATTCTGTTAATTGCATCAAGATCTTTTCGAGGTGGGTTGGGTATTGAAAAGTTGTTATTACCATATTTATTGTAACAGAGAAATACATCAATAGACAGACAATATTCTCGGTCACGATTACAAATGTATCGAAATTCACAAATTCTGGTTTTGTAAGTTTTATGTACGTAGAATAGCAATATGCTGCCGTGGATGCACATATAACAACCACAGACCAAACTTTTTTCGATTTAGAGTTTTGATTAATAATTGATATACCTAGAAGGCTAAGGTAGAAGAAAATATGTTCGACGAATTTGGAAATTTTAATTTTTCTGCTCATTATTTAGAATCTTATAGTCTAACACATATAAGTATGTTTGGGATAATGAAAACATAATATTCTAACATACATTACTTCAGTATTGATATACATAAATAATTTGTTCAATTTACAATTATATTATTATCGTTTATTAGGGCAATTGTAATGTAATTGAATACATTTTCGGCACGTAATGGTGCTCACTGTTTCAGTAAATTGTTCGATGAAATTATAAATATACAAAAATTGTAGTTGAGCAGTTTTTTAATTTTATTAAATATGATAATAACGATAAATTAGAGTTTACGAATAAATCTAGTTTTATTGTTGACTTTTGCACTTAAATTAATTAAAAGGCAAGGTCAATTTTGAGTAGGGCTACTAAATACATTGTTCTTATTATTAATACTATTAAGATACTTTTATTTAAAACGCCGGGAAGTTTGCAAACGTCTTTTATAAGGGGTTATATGACAAATAATACTTAATTTTAAAGCACATGTATTACTTAAGGATTCTATAAATTAATGCGATTATCTGCAGCTGCATAGAAAAATACTAATTACACCTAAAAATTTGGAAGTTTCAGCGTTATGGCAAAAACTTAAACAATTTAATTTATATTTTCAGATTGCCATACACCGATAAAGTGTATTTGTTTATTTACTGACATCTGTCAAAAATTGGACTACATTTAGATTAATCTTATTCTAATTAATATGTTTTATAGACAGTTCGTAATAATCCATAATCTTTCTAGCTGTAAATATAAATATTATTTGTCTTTACACTTACAAGAGCAAACTAAAAATAAATTAATTTACAATTACAGCGTAGAAACAGCAGTTCTGATATACAACGTTGTTGTAATATATTGCGATTTTTACTGGCTGGGTTAACGTCATTTCAGACAAGAGTCTTGAGAGATAGAGATAATTAATCTACGGTTATATAATACCTCTTTATATATAAAATACCTTATAGAGCATTGGTAAGTCTTTTCCATTTCATTTTTTTTATTACTAAAATTTTGATCAGTTCCTGATATGTCACCATAATACTATAACAAGATATATGCTCACTTGCCGGTCTAATTTTAATCGACTTTGCGCATGACGTCAAAGCGAGACAAAGCAAGGGGACTTGTATGTATCATATTTTAACGATGCATCATATAACAACGTTGTTCCATTACTGTAATGAACAACTTCGAAACTAAAACTGTTAACGGTAAGTATACCTCGATGGCCTATCTTGCACTAAGAAGTCATATCTAGTTACTTTCTGTGAAAACGTGTTTTGAAAATTAATAAGTAATTTGTAAAATTAATTAAAGAAACATATGAATCTACGATTTGACTGTGTGTATTAAAAGCAAAATAAATATTGCTACAAAACATAAATTAAATATAAAATGCCGGCAAAATGTAAAGAATTTGACCATAAAGGAAAAGCGGGTCATACTTGAGACTTCATGAATAGTATTTAGAAATTTATTTTACAATATTTGTGATTTTTCTTTTGCGGATATTGTAATTATCTTTAATATTTTGATTTAGAATTCGTATTTTAAAATACATTTTACATCTAAAAAAAAAGTAATTTTACATCTTCGCTAACATTTACATATTTTGCAGCTTTTTTTTTATATTTACATATTTACAAGTTTTTTAAATAATTTTTTATTTTTAATGTGTCGCCATTATAACTACGAAAAATGTGTTTCAATTCTCTACATACCGTACCTCCAGATCTATAAGGGCACAACTCAAAAAGTATAGTTTTGAGTAAATCACGTTTGAAGTTTTAGACAAAATAGTTTATGCTATGAAATCACATATAATGTAAATACAAATAATTTTACTACAGCTAACTATTCTTATTTACCAGTATTTTACATCAGTATCATTAAAAAAACGTAAAAATAAATATTTAAATTGTTTTTTGACATGTGCCTATATTACCACTTAAAAATGTACATCTCAAGCATGTCAACTCCAAAAGTGCCTGTTTTACCATTAATAAAACGGATATGACACTATAGGTCATCTTTAGGTTTGTTAATAAAACAATACAAAACAATTAAATGTTTATTTCATTATACAATAATACTTGAATTGGAATCAGAAACAATTTTACTGCCTAAAATTATTTAATTCTATTCTACTAACTTATTCTCATTACTCTATTGACATAAATAATGAAAATACAATTATTACAAAGTTGGTAATCATTGGAGTTGTACTATTAAAATATTATGTATTTCAACAATTTAAATTACTTTATTAATATTTAAAAAGATAATTAACTTTTGTGAAATTAAGATCACATGCAACTGCATCATTCAATATCATCTGCATCGTAATCATTAAGATACGCTGATGAATTCAAATTTTTATAAAAATTATGGTAGGGCTTTGTAATAAGATTTGCTTCGCAAAGTGATAGCAAATCATTTTTCTTTGCATTTTATATAGAGGGTAGATGGGAGAATGCTTTTTCAAACACCAAGTTACTTAATTTTCCACGATTACGTGATCTGACATTTATTTTTAAAAACTGAGAAAAATTTGATTCCTCGTCGTATTCACTTTTGTACAGTAAAACAAATGGTTCATTCTTATTAACATGCATTACTTTTATTTGATGTTCATGTCCATGTTACTTTTTCATTTTCTGAATTTTTTGAAAAGTTACTCCCAATCTGCCCTGATAATCTTTTAAAATCAATTACATCATCTGTAACTATTTCTGTAATTTTAAATGGACTGCCGGTTTTCTTTACATTTTGCAGTACCGTAACCCACTGGGAAGGAACAAAGATAGTACCAGATTTTAATTGCCTTTGTTTTTGTTTTTCAATTAGGGCATGCATCATATCCCCTTCATTTTGTGTATGCCCTACTTCCAAATACTTATGTGTAATACTTTTTATACCAAACTTCTGAACTGCATACAAATACAAACTGGCCAAGTACTTGTTTTTGTTTTGTCCTACACAATTATCACTGTAAAATATAACATCTTTGACTTGGCAGTGATCTTTTAAAAACTTTAATAAGCATAAGCCAATTTCATTGCTACCACGCTTAGCAACACCTTCATGCCAGACGAAACAGAAACCTGGCTGGTTCCAATTTCATAAATAGTGAAATTAAAAGTGGACTTTTAATTTCACTATTTATTTTTATCTATTTTTTTTTTGGAATTTTCTTTTATAATAAAATAGGGAAGCATCACCATGTGGTGTTTGCATCACAGCTTGCAAATCGAAACAAGCACAAACACAATTTCCTTTTTTTGCTTCAGCGGCACCAAGTAGTTTTTGCTTCCGAGATAATTCTTTGTTTCTTAGGTGTTTGTCAAGTTCAATTTTTAGTCCTCCTTGTTCATCAGGACTAGTATTTTTAAATGTTTCACACTTTACACATAAATCCTTTTTTGGTTTAAAGAATCCTATATTAAAATTATTACTAAAAACATGAGCATAAAGAGCATAAGTTACTTTTTGAGTACTAGTGTCATTAAACTGTTGCACAAACATTCTATGCATTTCTGCTATTGTAATTTGGCCTTCAAGGTATTCCATGTCTGTTTGAGCTCTTAAATAATGGGATGGAATGCGAGGGAAACTATTGATGTGGTCTTTTATTTTTTGTAAAACAGCAGCAGGAATAACTGGGTGATTTTTATGTTTCCCCCGTTTATCCTTTTCAAGAACTCCAACAGATAGGTTTTTGGCAATAGCTGTGCGAAATGCCTTAGCAGTGATATCAAGAGTTGATAAAAAGAAATTTTTACAGACTCGTTGCAATCCCTGACTAGTATTAAAATTAAACGCATGATTATTACTTCTAGTGCTCCCCTCCCTTATAGTATACCTATACTTGGCTCAATTATTGTTACATGCCTTACAATAAATTCTCTTTGGCGATTAATATCACACATGCCCCAGTAATTATTAAAAATATCTTTTCTATCATCGTGGGTAACCTTAGTAGTACACTTTAATCTACATTTTTCTGCATTACAAGGTGACTTACTACTTCTACTAGCTACTTGATTTCCTTTAGCATTTGTGTATGACATCCCAGAATTGCGCTTTTCTTTGGCTTGAGCTGACTTCCAGCGTCTGGTATTGCGTTTTCGTTTTCTTGTCTTGTTCTGGTCTAAACAAAAAATTATGATTTTAATGTCTTTAGCTAATGCTACAAATCTATGACTTTCATTCAAGTGAATGCAGTTTGGAAATTGTTAAATGACAAATTCATTAACTTACCTTGAGAATGTAAATCCTCATATGTTTCATTGTCAATAACAGGTACAGTTCCTGGTATTTCACCATTTGTCTCTGTTTGGTTTCCTTTATCCATCTTTTGCCTTTTAAGTATGTGGGCAGTAGAAAGAGTATTAACTAACGCGAAACACACTATACGAAAATAAAGTTGTTGAATAACATAACTTTAATTTTCATTCAGTCTGATCACAATTCGCGATAGCCAATTCCGACAGGGGGCGCTGAAGATTTTAAAGATTGACGATAACTTCGGGAAAGCAAATCATTTTATCATTTGATCTCGAAGCTATAAAACGTTTAATATAAATCATTTACACGTGTGTTTTGCCAAAGTAAAAGTTGAAGTACGTTCTTCAAAGTTTATTTGTTTGAGATTGGAGTTTATACATAAGGTAATTGACTCCCAAAACTGAATAAAAATAAAATTAAATGTTTGTTTTTCTACAGTATGTCTAAAACACAGGAAGTAAAATTTACATTATCATAATTATTTATATGGTTAACAGATCGGCAGAAATATTTAATTGAGGCTGAGGCAGTTTTTGGAGCTGACCACGTTATATTTTGTAAATTACGCCTTACTTTTTCTACTAATAACTTCATCATGCCGTTGGTGCAATTAAGCTGAGTTAACAGTATTTTTCTTTAGTCTTCTCAATTTTGTTTCAGGTGTTATTATAAAATAAATTTGGTATAAATATGTTAAAATATAAATAATATTTTAATCAGCTTTCTTTGTGGTAATACGGGCCCAACTAAAAATTTAATTGTTTACCTATTACTTCAAAGGGCACAACTCAAAAAGTGCCTGTGTTTACGGTACAAAGGAACAATAAAATATGGTTAAAAAGGCACATCTAAAAAAGTGCCTCTATATTAATTTAAAAGTCTAACATGACGCATAGAGAAAATACGGGTATAACTCAAAAATTAAATTAATGGACAAGATTAGAAACAGGACGATATTACCATTAAAAAGATCGTTCAAAACTACATATAAATAAAGGCCTAACTCAAAATGATGAATTTTTGAGTTGTGCTTCTATAGATCTGGAGGTGCGATACTATGCACATACATCCAAATTAACTTTTTTTAAAGACCTATCAAAAATAAAGTATTACTTCAAGTTCTATTAAAATGGGCATTAGTATATACACTGGGGTGCAAAATTAACCGGACACTTTGATTTTTTTGTTTTATGTTGGTGTTTAGAAAAAACTTGTTTAATTTGATTAAATTGTATTTTATGGCATATTAGCGATAACGTTTTTTCTTGTTTGAACCTGTTTAGATGTTTTGTGCGAACAACAACACTTTTATTTATGCGTTTTGTTATTAATGTGAAATAATGGATTAGTATTATTTAAGTTTATTGTGGTGCTGTTCCTGATTATAAGTTCGACTGTAGGTTTTTGTATTGTCTCCTGTTTAAAACTTACATTAAAAAGATTATGACACCAGAAGAAGAAGCACCAGCTGTTGCTTTGCAGGATGATGGGCGGAGCATTCGTTACGTCGCAAATGCTTTAGGAATTTCTCGAAGTACAGTCTTTGATGCAATACAAAGATTTCGGGAAACAGGACAATACACCAGGAGGTCAAGTTAAGGTAGACGAAGAACCATAAGTCAAGTTGAAGATCGCTTTCTTAAGTTACAAACATTACATGATCGTACATTATCGGCACCAGTGCTTGTCCAATAATCAAATCATGTCCATAGAAACACAGTTTCCATTTATACTGCTCGAAGACGCTTTAATGAATACGGATCAGGGTGCAGAATACCTGTCTAGGGACCTCTAGTAACAGCAGATTATCGAAGGCAACGTTTACACTTCGCTTGCGAACAGCCTAATTTGAGTGTTGACGATTGGAGTGCGGTGCTTTTCACGGATGAATCAAGATTAACAGATATTCATCATATGCACGGCCTAGAATATGGAGAAGAGCTGGTGAATGTTACCAACAATGTTGTCTTACTCCGAGAGTTCAATTCGGTGGAGGTGATATAATGGTGTGGGCAGGCATTTCCCTAGAGGCTCATACAGAACTTGTTACAATTCAAGGGGGCAACTTGAACGGTCAACATAATATTCAGCATTGTTTGGAAGATAATGTAGTGACATTTGCCCTATTTATTGGAGAAAACTTTCGTCTGATGCAAGATAATGCAACTCCATATATCGTAAGAATTATATGGGATTACTTTGATTAAGTTGGGATTCGTTTATTACCATGGCCTCCAAGAAGTGCAGACTTAAATCCAATAGAGTATGCATGGAATCTTCTGGAACGACGTATTCGACATGATGAGTTTGAAACCATGAATAATTTCGAGCAAGAAGTTTGTGACGAATGGAAGCAAATTCCTCAAGACTCAGACTTTGCTGCCTCAATTCGATGTATACCTGATCGAATGAGAGCCGTAATTATTGCTTGTGGATCATGGGGGTAATACACTCTACTAAATATTGTTTTCCATAAAAATTGTTCCTATATTTAAAAAATATTAATTTTTGTTTTGTTGCAGATTTTCAAATTTTTTGAATTGTTTATTGTTTTTTCTGTGTAACGTTCTTGAGCTGTAATAAATTTGACATTTAAATTTTGGTTTTTATTAAATACTCAATCGAGAACATCTTAAACTTTTTTAAATGCTAGTTTTTAAGAAAAAATTGGGTGTCCGGTTAATTTTGCACCGCAGTGTATTATTATCTATAGAAACATTTACTATGCTGGTAAAGTGTGTCTAAAACCAAAATACTTACATGTTTTTTAATACATTTCTTTTCTGCATTCTTGTATTGCGTCTATTTTCAGGTAATATTTTAGCGCTTGAGGATTTTATTAAATGAACCGAATGTTTTCACCACAAAATGTATATAACAATATAATATAAAACGTCTTTACTACATCAATGAATAAATAAAAATATCATTCACTACGTTTTGAAATACACAGGATAGCAAACTCGATTAACACAGCAACATAATTAACATGAACACTTATGAGCATTTAACTTGCCGTCATTAAAGTTGTCTCGGGCTTACGTCACAAGAACATGCGCGTTGAGTTATCTTGTTTTGTTATAGTAGCATGATATGTAACTACATGGCGGCAAGAAAAAACCACCTGATCTTCAAGCCATCAACAAAAATAATAAAAACGATAATATGGATATTTCGAATAATGAAAATAATTCAATAATAAATGATAAGTCTGATAAAGAGAAAATAAATTTAATCAAAGTGACAACAGATACAAGAAATATGCTGTAGGGCCATACTTAGTTGTAGTAGAAGGAATCGAGAAAAAATCCAAAATAGGCAAATATATTCACTAACAAATAGAAAATCACGTTATCAATTTAACTTTAAAAGATCTCTTAGAAGTTAAAGTCAAAGGTATAAATAAAATTGGTGTTTCTTTCACAAACAGCGAAGCGGCTAAGAATTGTAATTATAACTCTGTCAATCTTAAAGACCAATATAAAGTATCTATTAGATATAATCAAAAAATATGTTAGGGCATCATCAGAGATGTTACCCCGTCACTAACCGAAGATCAAATCAAAAAATTAATAATCTCATCCTTCGATGTTAGAGACATCAAAAGATTAAACAGGAAAATTATTAACGATGATAACTCACTTCAATATGCACCTACAGGCACAATTCTGTTAACTTTTGATGGGAAAATATTACCAAGAGAGATAAAATTTAGTTATCTTAAATTCAACATTATTCAATATGTGTCGAGAGTCACACAATGTTATAAATATTTCATATATGGTCATACCAGGACTCTTTGCAGAACTAAATCAAAATATCATAATTGTGGACAACGGGTGAAAGACGGTGAATTAAAGTCACATCTAGAGGCAAAATGCTTAACGGTGTGTATATATTGTAAGAGTCCTGAGCATAACTCAGTTAATAGCATACGAAAACTTATTATTTTATGAAGCTGCACAACTGCACCAAAAAATTACTCAAGCCAAGACTATAGAAAAAAAGATAGTCAATACCATCCGGCTAACTTCCCAATCATCCACCTAAAACATAATACAGAAAACAACACTATTAATGTTTATCAAAAAAGAACTACTGCAAGCCAGTGCATAAAAGAAGTTACGTTTGTGCAGTTAAATCTACTGGAACATAAAGAAAAGAAATATTTCATATAATGAAACTACGTAAATCGCAATTAATAAATCAAAATCATTTCAATATAATGACACTCCATCTATATCTGGTGTAAATAATAACAATTTAAAGCATAATTTTAATAAATCAACGCCTGTTAGTGCATCGGAAAGTTACTGTAATACAATAGACGATTTATACAGAACATTTACAAATATGAATAAAGAAGAACAAACCAAAATTAGATAATTAATACTAACATATTCAGAACTAAACAAATTAGTTCCTGATCTGATCAAATATGTAGAATCAAAGGTAACAATGTAATGAGGGAAAATAAAAAATGGAGCAGGAGGTATTGCCGCACACATTAAAAATAATCTAATTTACAGTAGGATTAATTTAGTCTCCAAATGGCAAAGCCCTAACTTTATTTTTGAAGACGCGAATTAATTTGGCGAAAGCTTAATAAAAGAACAAAGAGTTTTATATTGAAAAGCATTTTTTTATTCAGTTTCGATACAAAATCGTACACAACTCTGGCTAAGGATACAAGATGCTTGCAACGAATTTAGAAATAAGTTTGAAATTTTTGCAAGAATTTGGCGTTCTCTAAGCGAAATGAAAAAGTTATGCATAGAGACTAATGGTAATCACATTAATAATTTTTTTTACTATCTACTTTTGATACTTGTTCTATTGTGTTACTGGTAGTTTCGTTCCATCGTAATAAATATTTTGTGTTTAAAAACCTTTAAATAAAATTGTGTTTCAAATTGTTTCCCTGCTTTTTTTCAAAATATTTTTTAAGAATTGTATGCTGCATTTATTGAAACAAAGGATCATTTATAAAATTTATTAAAGTACCTACTAATTAAACTTTTGTGACAAGAAAACGAAAAATTTTCAAATCGATTTTTCTAGAAAACG